CCTTCCTCCATTTAAGTTTACCAATGTAAGTCGTATGTCTACCATTGCTGGGATTTTCATCATGGTTTTTCTCCATCTCATCCTAAAATCCTGCACCTGCTTCCTTTCTTACCTGGCTTTTAACAAGGAACTTTTAGTATCCACCTTCACTCCTATTTCCCTCACTTCCATTTCTCTCCTTTATCATCCTTCTGATTCGGATCGCCTCTTATGTCCTGTCTGAGCTTTCCACTGTTACAAGGCTTGTGCTGCTTCCTTCCCTTACCAGTATATTTACCCTATTAACCTTCTAGTTTGGATTTGCCAGCTTATTTGCCTGAATTATTTTTCCCTGTTTCCTTCAAGTCTTCTACCATCATGGCTGTCTGATTCTGTCTTCCATTAGAGGATATAGTTCATGCCTGCATGTGGACCACTCCCTGTATGTTCATTTCACATTACCTTTTTTGTTTGGCCATTTTATGCTCTACAGGTTACCGTCTTACCTCCTATCAGCATCTTGAGCTCCACGGTTTCACTATGTGTGTTTAGGTGTGCTTATATAGATCCCACTCTGTGGTAACTGTTGCCTGAACAGATATACTTATTTTTAAACCTGCACTGTATGACCAATATGATCAATAACACCCACAGTTGAAATGGGGTGTTCCTCAAGACTGCTTGTAATATTTCCTTGTGGTGTTTTGCTGCCCATCTCTGCTGTACTTTCTTTTGATTGAATCGGGAACAGTCTGCATTTCAACGTAGGGTCACCCATTAAACTGTCTCAGGTGCTATGTTCCTTCAGACTCACCAGTGCATTCTCCTCCCCCTTCTTCCAGTGGAGCACAGGAGTTCTTACCACTTACCAGCTTCTACCTAATGGGTTGGTGGATCATGGAGGCATCCTCCTGAATGTGCTCAATTCCACTCAGTTGAGAGTAGGGCAGTGGTGTTCTGCCAGTGTTGATGGTGTATAGACACTCCTCCTTCTGCAGACCTGATGTACTTTTCCAAATACTGCCTTGTTATGGACTTGACAATTTCTGCCAAAATGCAGCTCACCCCTCTGGTTGGGCACCCTCCTTCCTACCATCACCTGGATGTTGGTTCATAATGAGTACTAGTGATTGTTGGAGCTGGACCAGCCACATAAGTCCTCACATGAGAGTGGCCCAGGTACCCTCTTCCTACTGCAGATTGGACAATTCTTTCCCAATGCTACCTGGTTCTGGGCTTTAGTTGAACTGCCACATTGCTGTATGCCTTCCTACCATCACACAGATGTGGGTTCCTGGAGGTTACTGGTGTTGAACATGCACACATAATTATGTGGGTCCTTGCAACAGAAGACCTTCTTCCCTTCCAGTTCCTGTGTCTGAGGGGAATGGTAGAAAACCCTCTTACCATGGGCTGGATATTACTATAAAGGTGCTGCTGGTGGTGATTGAGGTTGAACTCCCCCTTAGCCCCTCTACACCAGGGGTCCCTTTATTATTTCTGGGGTCTCCTATGATTCTGCCTTTTGGGACAGATCATTTTCACAGGTGAAAAGTATACCTGGCTCAGAAGTGATGTGGTCACCCACAGGTGTAACTTACATATTCTTTACTCATACATCCCATCATACATCTTCTAGGTACTGTTACACCAGTCCTTCCACCCGGTCAATGTGGGATTCTACCTATTCTGTGAGAAGAGGTAAGATTTCGTATCGGACGTTAGAATTTTCCCACACTGAAAATATATTTCTAATAGATTCTTACCTTTTCTCACACTTCCCACCTTTCCTCCCCACTTCCAATTTTTTTTTCCTTTTCTGTTGCTCAATCTAAAAGTGAAGTTGGGCTAAGCTGCATAAAAGGAGTTAGCTGTGCTTGGAGTTGTGTCGTGCTCTTATTGGTGTAGGGTTGCCATATGCTTATTTGCATGCTATCACACAGCTGCCTCACATGAGGGTAGGTGGGAGTATCAAGGCTAGTGGCAAGCAAAAATGTGTGCAAATAGAGGGCAGTACAAGTCAGGAAAGAGCTATTCTGTGAGATGGTGGTAAGAATCCATTGGAAATATATTTTCAGTGTATGAAAATGTTAACATTAAAAGCTTATTGGGTTATACAGCTAAAAAGTAAATGAAAACAAATGAAATAAAATTTCATGAAACCAACTTGAGCTAACTGCTTTATGTGATTTATCAGTTGTTTACTCTTAAGTACTTCCACTGTAATGAATTGTCTGTCACATACTTAGAATAT